TGTTATGTTATTTTTGCCTCTAAATATTACATAGCTGCGAATAATCTACGATTCGGCTTTGATAATGTACTTTGTCTTGTTTCCTTCTAAATACGTAATTTTTGATAGCTAGTAACTGCTGTGATTAAATTATTATGTTTTCGCCTTACTTATGTAATGGCTCGTGGATATGAGCTCATGAATATGAGCCTCTAGCATGGCTTGAAACTAGTCGCGTTCCTCGTAAAATAATTACGTGAGTAAGCCGAAAACTTAATAATTGATTTAGTATGTCTCACGAAAGTTATAATACTGCTGTGAGTCTACATTATGTGATGCATCTTGCACAGGTTTATCCGGAATTCGTTTTGATATATTCACATTTTTTATGGGGAAGCCGGTAAACGAGCAGACGGATCACCTGATGGTAAGCAATCGGCGTCGCCCGTGGACACCTGGAACACCTTTACAAATGCGTTACGAAATCAAAAATTGTGAAATTCTCTATACAGACTAAACACTTAAAGAAGTTGGGGTTAGAAAGAGATAAAAAGTAGTCTATGTCAATCTCCATTCGTTTAACTATATCAATTTTTAAAATCACACTATTTCATCGCTTCGTTTTGCCGTGAAAGGTGGACAAACAAGCAGACATACACATAAATTAACTTAAAATCGCGGGTTGCTCACATGAAGCTACTAAGAAAAGCTCTACTAGTTTCGGACCACAGAGGGGTTCTTCCTCATGAGCAGCGTGCGCGGTCGCGGCGATAGCCTAATCTAATAAGCTGCGCGTCACCCCTTTGTGGTTCGAAACTAGTAGAGCTTTTCTCAGTATATTCACGTGAGTAATCCGCGATTTTTAGTTAATTTAGTATGTTTAACGATAGTTATTATGAAAACACAGACATACACATGCTTTCATATTTGCTTTCTTTCATTCACATTGTGATTATTTTGATCGATAAATAATAACAAAGAATTATTATTGTGTATTCAGATAGCAGGCGTGGCGAAGAGGTTGGAGCGTGCAGCAGCGCTGCGCGAGGAGTGCTACTTACTGAAGGCGCTCGCCCTCGCCAACTCTGAAGCAAGGATCGACGAGCACGCCGCACTGCGCCGGTTCAGGGACTCTATACTCGCCGCGCTTAATGATGCTGTGTCTGCGCTCAGGTTGGTATTTGTATTTATTTACATGGTGCGAAGGGTAGATGGTTATAATTGTGCTATAGGGAAAAATTAAGAAGATGCTTTGAAAATCTTCCAACAGAATTCAGAATGTTTACTTTCCAATGCACAATCTCCTTTCAATCTACTGTTGATTAATGAATTGATTACGGTGATCTACTATAAAATGTCTCTACAATAACTTTTGGACTGTAAAAGATTTGAAAAAGCGTAGGTTATTTTGAATCCCGAGTATGTTAATTCTCATTTCTCATAGATAGTCCTTAAGCATGATCAGTCAGGTAACAACTTGACATAATTCCAGGCCATACAACGGTAACTCGGCCCTGCAACAACTGCTGCTGGTCCTGCCGGCGCTGCGGCTGGCGGACGTGGCCGTGCGCCGGTTCTGGGCCGGAGTACACCGGGAGCGACGCGCGCCGATGAACAAACTGTTCGTGGAGATGCTGGAGGCATGTCTGCGGTAGACCACCAGGTACCCAGTGCACCCTGCCCCTACAAAAACCCCTTTTCGTTTCTTCACCTACGGCGGGCGACGCGTCCCCGCGCTAAATGTACAAATCGATGGACGGATCTAGTACAAAACTTGTTACTATTTTTGTATAATATAAAAAAAATATATCTAGTTTTACTGTGAGGTTTCGAGATTATTGTATGGTCGAGGAAAGGATAGGCTGTGCTACTATGACCTGGAACGTCATTGTGTAGCTTTAAATGAGAAGCTGTAGCTGTCTGCTGGGTACCTCGAACCCGCGTGATGGTATTTTTTCCCCGACCGTACGGCTTCTGTCTCGGTAAATGCGGGGGCCGTATTCGGCGCATTTATCATTAAAATATTGTTTTTATTCTCCTTGTTTTAATTGCTAAGGTCGGTCGGTTTCCACTGCGGCTGAACGATGCTGATGCACCTATATTCGTTACTAGAATTTCAAAGTACAAATATACATGTTAGTTCTACATCTGGGTAAAGAACTAAGTTTTCTCTACGAACGGAATGCGATGTTTTACTAAGTATTATAATGTAAGAAATATGAATTAATGAATACTGTACAACCAATATATCTTGACCCGTCTGAAGTGCGCTACAAAAGTATCGTTGTCCCTTTCAATCGCTATTGTTCCTGCTTATCGACGTCCCGCTCACTTAGTGGAACTCCTAACTTCAGGGGGATCAAGATATACTAGCTGTACTTTAAATTCTTATTTCCCAATTGAGCCGCAGTGTCACCGCACCACTACTCTAATGTACAACTGTTTTTTATAAAATATGAAACAAATAACAAAAATAGAATTTATTTAATGAAAGCAGATTATGTAGCAATATTTACTATATAAACGTTATAAATGTTTCTAGAGCTGTTCCACTAAAATAATAATATTTTAACCGAACTGTTAGTCGTGTAGTGACGCCATGAATGTCTGATCCTTCTGTCAGCATTGTCTGGGTAATTTGGAACAAATTATTTGGCCAATGTTGGTGTTTTTAGATGTAGTGGCCCCATATTGGATGGATGTATTTTTAAACGCGTTTGATAGTAGTTTTCTATTTAAATTAACGTGTAAACTATAGCTGTAACACAATGTTAGTTGTCCTAATCGCAGTTAAAAATATTTTCAACTAATATTTTAGATTGCTATGGTGTTTATCATGGCTTTTGTGACCCCAAAAGGCCCAGTGACAAGAATATTTTGTTAGAAATAATGTCCTGTTCATAAAAGCCAGTGTTTTTGGAGTTTGTTTCTGTTCTTAGTCGTGATTGTAACATATCTGTAGGTAGTTTAGAATAATGTACAAAGTACAAGGAAATAATACTCTTCTGGGCTTCAAAATGACCCTTGTTCGTGAAAAAATCGCTTGGCAACCTTCAAGTAAGGTTAAGTTAACAATTGTCGAAATTTTATTGATTGTATTATACTGAAGCTTTGATAGAGAGAGAAATTAACGAGTGCTACCACCAAATCGAATGTAAATAAAAACAAAGCTACACAAAAATAATCTTTATGAATAAGGGGTTTAGAATCAAAATACGGAAGCATGCTCCAAACGAAACACTATAGCAAAAACGTATACCTAAGTGTAACATCACACATTGTATTAAGTACCTAATTATTGATATGTAAATATTAAAAAATAGAAAATAAAAAATAGATTTAAAAAATATATAGTGGAACAGATAATATCGAATACCTCAGTACCCGTTACCATAAACCAGTAAACTGTTGTATATAAGTACTAAGTACGAGTCCTAGTGTCTTTAGATCGATGCCAGCGCCTCTAACGGCAAAATTGGGAACTATAAGTATACAATTTTGAAGTTTTGTGTCAAATTGAGTTACGAATGTGCAGAGCAGGATTTTTATTATTAATATAAAATGTCTGCTTATAGTTTTGTTTTGTTGTTGGGTGTTCTAGCATCGATTTAAACAAAAAAGAGTCAAATCAATGCGATCACGACTTAAATAAGAAGTTTATATAAAATTTGAAAGAAGTAGAAAAATCTATTCAAAATTGCACCCATAGTTCGGTGAACGGTTGAACTTGCAAAATTATATAGAGAATGGATCATATTTTATTGTTAAATAAGGTTGTTGTGTAAAAGTAAGGTGCATTTTTGTTGTGATTTTGCTCAAAAAACATTTCTGTAAGTATTCGCATTGTAACCAAGGATTAAGAGATGTCTTTAAGGCTTTACGAACGCAAGGAAATATAGATTATCTATGCAGTTCTTTTGCCTCTATCATCGAATGTGATATCAAGAAAAATCACAGTTGTATTTTTAACCTAATTATTATTATTTCGTTTTACGGCTTCGTAGCTATTATTATGTTATAAATAAGTTGTCTGAACAAGCTAAAGGTTGTTTGTAGGCACCGATGTATCGATTCTAGTGTCGAAATATCGATTAGTATACGTTCAAAATATATTTGTTTATCGTAACATAGTTACATGAAAACCTGTTATTTTTATATTTGAATCTGTCAGTTGGAAATATTCACGAAAATATATTCATAGATGTTATGAAATTATTTTGTGAATATTTTTAACTTGAAACTAATGTGATGGCTTAAGAATTTACGAAGGCAATTATTTTTCGGAAATGTCTGTTTAGAAATGATTTTGTCACATTTGATTTTCTAGGGAGTCGATTTGTACTCGTTTGTTGTTGTACGGACAAGGTGAACTCATCTTTATCTAAACTACGTTGAGGTTTATATTTCTGTCAATGTAATGGCACGTAGATTCTGTGCGATTGGTTGAAACTTAATCAATTTATATTAGCGCAAAGTTGAACTGCATTAAAGTGTGAATAGGAAATATAAACATAGCAAATTCACCTTTATTCCCGGAAAATAAAACACATATTGCTTCCGAGACGAAAACAAGCGTTGAGACAAAGTGAATTTTGAAAGGAATATGTGCATTATTTTGCGTAGATAAGGTTGAATTTGCCACGATGATGATTCGGCTATGATGCTAATAAAAATTGATCCTTAACCCAAACGAATTACAGTACAAATTGATTCTCAAATAAAATTCCACGTGGAAATGTTATACTGTTGTAGTTATTCTTATGTTAAGAATATATACTTTAATTATATTGTAATAATTCGTACCGGTGGTAGTGTAGCGAGCTGTGACGTGTGACTGTGCCAGGTTATTTATTAAGTTTATTAATTATCAATATTAATGTCGTTATTGATCTGCGATTACTAATTTATATAAGGATGTGATTGTGGTTTGCAGTTTGTATGGGAGTTGGTTAATTGGTATTGTGAAATCGAGAGTTTTATGTAGTTTAAAACACCGTAACCGGCGCGTAGGTCACTGGTGGCCTATGCTAGCAAGAGGATTTGCGTTCAACAGTTTTCTGTCACAGTCAAAGGCTTTACCTCTTTTCTAAGCACATATGAGACATCAGACACATAGGAAATACATTGCGTCTCGCTTATATCTACGTTCCGGTATACCATGGGTTAACAGTGGTAGTATTGATGTGGTCTGTTTTTAGGTCGTAAATAGTGAGATAAAAATTAGGTATTACGTAATAGCTTACTAACTCGTTGGTTAAGTGGAAGAAGTCAAAATCACAATTTTTTGTATATTTTTTAATTTATATATTATACTAGCTGACCCAACAGACGTTGTCCTGCATATCCACTTGAATGTATAAACAAAAATTCTTTCAAATTAGTTCAGCTGTTTAGGATAAATAACCTAGTCATCGACTGCAGCGCCATCTGCCGGGCTGATTTGTGAATCTAAACCATTCCCAGATCCCCTTGAACACATAGAAAAAATGTCATCAAAATCGGTCTAGTCGTTTGAGAGAAGTTCAGTGACATACAAACTCACAAGAATTATATAATTAAACTGTCAAACACCAAGCGGTCACCGGTGACCGCAACCTATTGTTCTATAATTGTGTCTACAAAACCGGTACTCGATGAGTTAATAAAGATTTCAAGTGAATTTTACAAGTGTACCTATCAGGTATTGTCTTTTTTAAATTATTTATTAGTAGTCATTCGTGCAATCTGTATTTTATCTTTGTGTATTTGTGGGTCTTTTGTGGGTCTATAACTGAATTACTAAAGTAGGTATAACTCGGTCGTCTTTTTTTTAATATTAATTCATCCCTTTTACTCACAGTACTATTTTCAAAATCAACTGTATTATTATAAGATTTAGGTCGAAATTTAATTTTAAATCGGCAGCTCAAGTTTCCATACCAACTGCAAACCAAACTTTTGTTGATAAATGATAATATGTATTTATTATCCAAAAAAAATAACGAAGGAAAATTTTGAAACGCCTTTTTACAAAATTTTACTTTGTATAAACGAACTGATTGGACATGTTATAGTATAAAGGATGAATTTCTATATCGTAGAGTATATTTGTATGTATGTATGTAGTCGATTAGTGATATGTAATCTCAGATCAAACTAGAGAACTTTAGGTAAAACCATTATATAGCTGTGTCTTAAATTTTTGTATTTAATAAATTCGTACCTTATTTGTTTACATATTGTTATTAATGTGAATCGGTCCCGGATATGAAATAAAATATATAAAGTGGTGACATTTTAATATTGTATTTTTATTTACCTGTCTACCCTGTTCAATTCTGCGAGCGGCTTCGCCCGCGTTATTAAACTGTCAAACACCGCGAGGACACCGGTGATCGCAACCTATTGTTCTTTGTGACGGTACTCAAAGGGTTAAAAGTAGTTTATCTTATCTATCTAGCCTATAATCAGGTCGCGGAGAACCTAACGGGTAACCGGGGCTCCGACTCGACGTGCAGGAGAAGGAACGGGGTGGTTTTTAGTCAGTAAGAGTCTGACACTCCCTCCCGCCTCACCCAGGCGGGAGCAGTCATTCGATTATTTTCCCCCCTTAAAAAAAAGCTTATAATCAGGGTTGATTATTATTACAAACATCCCGATTCCTACAGCCATTTTGATGTGAAAGAGTAATAATAATAAACACATACACATATCTACCTCTACATACATCCTCACAAACTTTCGCATTTAAAATATTAGTAGGATTTGATCATCAAAGCAAATATACTGCCTAACTAGTCTGGAGGGCTGTAGGCCTTCTCTACTTATAAGTGCCACACTGGCGTAGCGTTGGTGGTGGTGCACTGTATAAATTGTTTAGGGGCCCCTATGAAAGATTTATTTATTTATTTTATTTATTTATTTAATTTAATTCAACACATCCTAACAGGTTACACCCAATGCGATAATGTTGTCACTTAATATAAAAACTTATAATTAACATTAATAAAAAAAAACTTAAATAGAGAGATAAAGAGTTTACACAAGAATAAAATGCATACAGGTACTCCCTCACCGCATTCACGTGTAATGTAACATTAAAGATTCGACTTTGAGCATTACATTACAATAATACCTCCCTGACTAACGAGCATTCGACTTTGAGCATTTCATAGCAAGATGTCAGACGAAGCGAAGTGCCCGGGAAAGTGGAGCGCATTGATGTTACAAGTTGTATCAAGATATAACACATTGTATCAATACAAGGTGCGCATTGTATTACTCGGTCCTCCTCCTTCACTGATGTAATGCTCAGACCAGGGGCTTACTCTTGAATTCAATTCCGATAGATCGACATATTGGTATTGTGAAATTTGGTACTCTTGAGTAGCAACACTAACGTCCATTGCATTCGTATTGCGTGAATATTGAATGAACTAAATACGCACCCTGGGCGCTTACTCTTGAAACCAATCTCAATGTCAATGCAATTACAATCCAATAAAATCTCAATAATTATTCAATGTCAAAACTATACAACCCTTATCGTAACTATTAAAATAGTATTCAGAGTACCTACGGAATATAAAGCCAAACTCAATACCATTTAGTTCATTCAATATCCACGCATACGGATGCAATAGGCGCTAGTGTTGCATCTCGAGAGTACCAAATTTCACAATACCAATGTCGATCGATCGGAATTGGATTCAAGAGTAAGCCCCCTGTAACGTTACGAACTGTAACACGCGAATGCGCCCGGTGAGGGAGCACCTCTAAATATACTAATATAATATGTGAAATTCGGAAAGTTTTCCATCCTCTGCTCGATTATCGAATATGATTATTTTAGTTTCTCTAAAGTTTCTATCAGCCTTTGAATACGTACTTTACAAAAATCGATTTTGAGATTACTGAAATAAATATTGGGAAGTTTTTATTAAATATTGGTCACGCCCCGGACTTCGGAGGGCCACAACGTGCAGGCGTTGATTGATACGATAGTAGCTAGCTACCTACGCCCCTAGCCTAGCCTAAGCCCCTAGTTTGCCATAAGAGTTCTGGTTAAAATGGGACTGTTCTCAATATCCCATCCCATTATCTTTCTTGCAGTTATCTCAAAATCATTCGAATTTTAGTTATTTTTGGCGCGGACTTCCTTGAGTATGGTTGTGATGTTGCGGCGAGTTTCTCCGATGTAACTCGAGTCAGTCGCACGGTATCATGTATACTCCGGGAACTGCCCGTGCATTTTGTCTTATACGAACGTAGTAGCTGTCGCACGAAAAGCAGCGACATTGGACATTAAGAGCCAAATACGTAGACAGACCTAGATCCTCCTATACTCACTTACACGTACAACTGTAACGTCAACACGTCTGCCAGCCAGCTTTACTGCTCTAGGTGTGATCGGGTTTTCGAAACTAAATTCGGTCTGGCTAGTCACATTAGTCACACGACAGGAGATAACTTATTAAGGGTTGCCGTTACCTAAATCGGTAAAGAGGACTATATAAAGTTGTCGTAACTGGGTGGGCGGAAGATAGGCCTGATGCTGTATCTTCGGCGTAACATGTGTCCAATAATGTCGGTTACTCGTTTCAGTTCCACATAAGCTAAGAATGCTGGAGTCTGCTCCGCAACTGCCAGTCGGTCTTTAACTGACGAGCTCGCCAATCGAGTAGGTACTTTGACATCAGTTGTACTCATTATTTTCCAGCACGTCTTACGTCTGATCTGTCGTCGGCGGTATGTTCGAACCGATACGACCTTCAAACCTTCAAGAAAAGAGTGTATTCCTTTTTAAAAGGCCGGCAACGCACCTGTGCCTCCTTTGGTGTTGCGGGTGTCCATGGGCGGCGGTGATCGCTTACCATCAGGTGATCCGTCAGCTCGTTTGCCTCCTATTCCGTAAAAAAATGTGGTCGAATTCAGCGTCATTGTACTGGGGATCACATAGGTGCGGTGCCCGGTTGATTAGTCTTAGGAACGGAGGCAAGGTGGGAGGGTTGATGATTCGAGTCCGTAAGTACTGGTCCGTGTGTGTCGGATTACGATAGACCGTGTGCGACAACCGGTCGTCTGTTCCACGACTTACGAGAACGTCCAGGAACATCAAACTTCCTTGTTTTTCCTTAGTAGTGAACTGAATGTTGCCGTGCACCAAATTTAGGTGTGGGTAGTTTCCATGGTATCAAAATTAAACATTTCATTAGTCCGTCAGTTAATGAAAAAATATTAGACACGTATTTTTTTGTTTTATCGTATTAAGTAGCAATACTTAGATAAAATGGCTCTAAGTTTATGAGAGGGAGGTCGATATTTCAAATTAATATATCTTCGAAATAATTTCGTTTTGTGAGTAAAGAAAAAATATGTGTTTCAAATTTTAAATTAATGTATCAGATGGACATTAAACTGTCAAACACCAAGCGGTCACCGGTGACCGCAACCTATTGTTCTATAATTGTGTCTACAAAACCGGTACTCGACGAGTTAAAATAAAATTTTGGAAACTACCCTATTCCGCCACATGTTCCCGGTTGATGACGGCGAACACGTCATCAACATTATCAGTTACGCGAGTAAGCCGAAAACATAATAATTAATTTAGTAATATTTCACGAAAGTTTTGATATAAAGGTAAACCTTTTTCGGGCATTTTTTTTGGAATATTATTGCACTATCCTATATAGAAGTAGAATAAGAACACAACATTACATTTCATCATTCGTTTTATTGTTTATTGCTTAAAATGTGTATAATATTTACAGTATAGTTCCTGTTACATACAACTAAGTAACGAGTATCAGACTATGGCGAACTGTTCGTACAACAGCTCTCTCACTTTGTAGTACTCTTCAGACAGGACACCTTCCAGTGCAACGCGGCCGTTCTCCAACTGAAAGTAAATAATAATTTATTGATTATTTTTTGTTTTATTAAATTACTAGCGGACCCAACAGACGTTGTCCTGCATATCCACTTGAATTTATAATCAAAAATTCATTCAAATTAGTGCAGCTGTTTAGGATACATAATCTAAACATTGACTGCAGCGCCATCTACCGGACTAATTTGTGAATCTAAACCATTCCCAAATCCCCTTGAATACACAC